ATTTTAATAAACTAAACGTTCACCAAAAAACTTTAGTGAGAAAAATCGAAAAAACGAACTACAAACATATTAACGCTAAACATTCGGTAGAATTTATAGAATATTGTAAAATATATATATATATATATATATATATATATATATATTATTAATAAAGATCACGGCGTTTCTTACAGTACTCAATCTATATGATAGTTTCTCGATTCTTCGAATAATTCTCCGATCTACCAAGCTTAACTTTTTACGATACGATACGATACTTTTATTTGCTTCTAAAAAATTAACAAAAAAAGAATAGAAGACAGGATGACTATGATCAAGTTATCATGTAACTCATCTAGCATAGCCACCTTGCAAATAGTTTCAAAAAAATAGATAAAAAACCAGTCTGATATAATACAAAGTGATCAAATTAAAAAAAATGAAATTATTTCTGTAATCTAAATTACTACAAAAAAAACTCATAATTATTACCAGTTTTTACAATAATTAAAAAAATACAAAAGAAAATTGTCATTATAAACAAAAGTCCTCACCATCAGCACCACCACCACCAAACATCCTCATCACCACAACCATCACCACGATCCTCATCACTATCGCCATCATTAACATGTAAATCGCTAAACACCATCACCACCACCACAAAACATCCCCGTTACCACCACCAAACATCCTCATCTCCACAACCATCCATTCAATCCCCATCACCATTATTAACATGCAAAACGCTGTGATGCTTTGTGGGGAGGGTATGTTCCCATGTATGTATACATGTATGTTTACATGTATCTTCAATAGCTCCCTGATTACATGTAAAATTCCCGACATCTATAAAAAAGCGAAAATCATTCCTCTGTTAAAACCTGGAAAACCAGATAGCGACTCAAAATCATACAGGTCAATATCGTTACTCTGCCCAGCCGTCAAGATCCTTGAAAAATGCCTTCTCCCAATCCTATCAAAGCATCTAACTTTGGCGAATCATCAACACGGTTTCCGTACAAACTACTCAACAACCTCCGCTCTCACCACGATAACAAACGACATCGCAAATGGCCTTAATCACAAAAGACCAGCTCATCGCACCGTTTTTGCCGCCCTAGACCTCTCTAAGGCCTTCGACACGGTCAGCCACCGTATTCTGCTCTCTGATCTTCTAACCACAACACTCCCAAGATCTGTTATACGCTGGATGTCAAATTACCTGCACGGACGTACCGCATCAACCACATTTCGACAACAGCACTCCAAACAACGAATCATTCACACAGGTTCAGTGTTGTCCCCCTCACTTTTCAATTTCTATGTCTCAAAAAAACCTGCACCACCCCCGGACATCAAAATCATCTCATATGCGGATGACTTCTCTATCTACACTACAGGTCCAAATGCAGCTATTTTGACCCGGCGGCTTAACAGTTATCTGACGGAGTTACATGACTTTTTCCACAACCGTAATTTGGAGATCTCAACATCCAAATCCACAATAACACTCTTTACCATTTACACATCGCAATACCATTATCACCCGCAAGTCAAAGTCAATAACCAAACTCTTCCTCTAGAGCATAACCAAAAAATTCTAGGCCTTACCTTTGACACGATGCTCTCCTTCTCGCAGCATCACAAGATGTCAGCTTCTAAGGCCTCTAAGCAAAACTCAATTTTAAAAGCTCAACCTATGGCCAAGACAAGGAAACACTAATGCAGACATACAAGGCGATTGACCGATCAGTTATTGAGTATGCCTGCCCGGCCTGGTCTCCACTGACTTCCGACACAAGCTACCACAGACTACAACGCTCACAAAACGCTGCTTTACGGGTAATCACAGGATGCCACGGAATAGCATCGGAACAACATCTCCACTCTGAATGCCTGATGCTATCAGAAAAGCAGCATACTGACCTACTATCACCTCAATTCCTTTTACAATGCCATAATACCAGTTACCCTTGCCACCACATCACAAGAGAACCACGACCCGACAGAAATATAAAACACACATTATTCAGCAAATATGTACAGATTGTGCAGACCGTTCTGCCCACAGATACCGACAGCAGAGCGTTAAGGGCAGCTTCATCGGCCTTGCATTGCAGTGCTGCGAAACTCGCCTCGGAGACATATCATGCCGCTGTGCTGCTCAACGGATGGTCACCTCCAACACCCAAAATAGACAAGGCAGAGGAAAGTTTGCCCAGAGCGTTAAGTAGAAAACTGCCCCAGCTCCGCTCTGGTCACTGCATCTCCCTCAACAGCTACAGATCGAAAATAGACAATAGGGTCAGCAACATCTGTCCAATAGGCCAATTACTTCCTGATGATGTTCCCCATTTGTTTAGCTGCCCATTGAACCCAACTCATTTCACGATAATAGATCTCTGGCGTAACCCGGTGGCCGTGGTTAACTGGCTACGGCCTCGTCTGGATCCCTCCAACGATGTCTGACGCAGGGCAACAACAACAACAACAACATGCAAAACGCCAGACACCATCAGCACCACCACCACTAATTATCCTCGTTACCACCATCATCATCACTTTTGTCATCACCATCATTAACATATAATTTTGTCGATATAAATCACTTAAACAAGGTTATGTTATTTGTTAATTAAAATTGCCTTTAGCTTTTTCTTGAAAATATTCAGTCTTGCATCCAAAATAGTGTTCAAGTTATATTTAGCTATTAAATTATTCCATATTCGCGGACCATTACAGAAAACATGAAAAAACAAAATGTTTGTTTTAGACTTGTTACACTTGATCATATTATGATATCTATTATTCGAAAAAAATTTATAATAATCACCAAAAATAGGTGGTAATAATCCTGCTTGTTGTTTGAAAACAAATATTGAACAAAAATATCTGGGAAGATCAATAAAATTTAAGCTATTTGTCAACGGAAACAATGATTTAGTTGAGTCATGAAACTTTGCATGGGTAACAATTCTCATAGCTTTTTTCATCAAACGTTGTAATGGTAATGTTAACGAAAGATATGTCGACGCCCAGATGATGTTGCCATATACAAGATGAGGCAGACATATTGAATTGTACAGTAAAATCAATGATCTCCTAGGTAAGTAAAATTTAACTCTATTGATTACACCCAGTGACCTGGCTATTTTAGTAGTTACACAACTTATATGCAGTTTAAAAGTTAACTTGTTGTCTATATTTACACCCAAAAAGTTTGTTGATTTACTTACAATTACAGCTTCACCATCAACAAAAATCTTATAAGGTTCCTTGTAGTTCAGATATTGCACAGGCCCAAACACCATTAATTTTGTTTTTTCGTTATTAATGGTTAGCTTATTATCTTTAAACCATTTAATGAATATTTGAACACCATTATTAAATTCATTAATGAGTTCATCTATTTTTTT